TATGGAAAGCTGAGGGGAAGACATTGCCAGTTATACAGCTCTAGTGTGTTCATGAATGTTTGACTGAATAAAAGTGATAACAGTTCCTGAAATCTCTGATGAATGACTGAGACCAATAGCTTGCTATCCTGGATACACATTTTAATCACTGAAGGGTTTATTGTACGTGGTTACTTGGGTACCTCCCTCACTGATTGGTCAGGGGTGGGACCACGTACCTGTATTTTTTATAGTATATCAGCTATTGTCCAACGTGCAGCCAGGATTAGAAAATATTGTATGAGGCATAGCAAAAAGCACTGGTCTCTAAGTCATGGGCTATTGATTTTGGCTCAATTTCTGCCACTGTATAGAATGCTAAATTGAAAGAAATTTTTACAAAAGACTGAAAGTCATTGGTGATTACAAAATGACTTTTTATTTCCAACAATCTCTGTTCCTGATTTTTTAATGCCAAAATAACTGGTTGTTCTAGCCATTCAAGCCACCTGGTAGTTGTATCATAGAGTACATCTGAAATTATTTCAGGAGTCTGTGAAATTGGAGGGTTCTGGTTTACTGTGTGTCCATTTTGCTATAAATAAACTGGTAAATTTAGTCTTAAAATGATCACTTCTATTAGCCTGGGTAATTCATTAGAGTTGTACCTAGTATACGGTAAAAACTCAATAAATATTGGTTGAATAACTAAATAAGTAAGCACAATTACTTGTCTGAGCATCATATGCGGTGACTTTGATAATTATTCTTTATACCTACACATATATATTTACTCACAAACACACAATGCCTATTATACTGCAAATACAAAATTACTTGCTCTTCTCAGAAGTAGTGAAATCTTTTATTCAGAGATCATATGATCCAGTTCCCTGAAGGTATTTAAACACAGGTGGATGAGAAGGTAGTGGGAGCTAAGTCCCGGGTGACCTTTCAGGTCCCTTTCAACCCTTAACTTTTGGGATGTGAAGGTGTAAAAAGTGCCTCAGGTCTTCCATCCTTCCATTCACAAAATAGTCATGTTTGATGTATTCCACACTACTTTTTTTGAGTTGGAATTTCACTCCGTCGCCCAGGCAGCGGCACACTCACGACGACCCCAGCGTCGACCTGCTGTGCTCCTGTGCTCCTTCTGCTTCAGCCTTCCAAGTAGCTGGAACTACAGGCATGCGTTACCATGCCTGGCTAATTAAAAAAAATTTTATTGTAGAGATGAGGTCTCACCGTGTTGCCCAAGCTGGTCTCGAACCCGTGGGCTCAGGCAATCCTCTTACCTCGGCCTTCCAGAGTGCTGTGATTATAGGCTTGAGCCACCACGCCCAGCCACATCACATTTTTTAAAAAAATTGAGTGTTACAAATGTTTAAAATTAAGAAGTTTTCACATATATTAAAGTATTTCTGCATCTCTTGAGCATCAGAAACACTATACTGGATCTTCATTCCCTCAGGGCAATAAAAGATAGGATTTGCAGGTATCTAGCCCCTTTTAGTGGGACACTGAGTTCCAGGATATCCTGACATGGTTCCTTCTCTCATTTCTGTTATCTGCCTGGCTCCTGGAGGCTTACTCTTTGGTCCTCCCACTGCAGACAAGGTTGTGGTTTAGGAGGACTGTGTCCTGGCACGTAGCATGACCAGCACCCTCTTTGCCATTTGACTGTGTCTTGAACACAGGGAGCATGTGTCTTGCCACAAGTTGTCACACTCTGGCATGGCTTCTTCTTCCCATTCCACACTTACCTTTCTAGTTTCTTCTCTTTCCTATTCCCCAAATCTGAAAACTTATTTTGTGAGTGAAAGGGTTGCAATTCATAATTACAGTTGATCCTTGAACAGTGCAGAGGTTAGGGGTGCCAGCCACTCATGCAGTTGAAATCTGCATATAACTTTTGACGCCCCTAAAACTTAATGACTAATAATCTCCTCTTGACTGGAAGCTTACCGATAACGTAAAGTCAATTAACACATATTTGGTCTGTTAGATGTATTTTATATTGAGTTCTTACAATAAAGTACGCCAGAGAAAATACATGTTCTTAAGAAAATCATAAGGAAGAGAAAATGTATTTACTCCTCATGAAGGGAGATCATCATAAAGGTCTTCATCCTTGTCATCTTCACGTTGAGTAGGCTGAGGAGAAGGAAGAAGAGGAGGGATTGGTCTTCCTGTATCATAGGCGGCAGAGACAGAAGAAAGTTCATGTTAAGTGAACCCATGTAGGTATAAGCCTGTGTTGTTAAGGGTCAATTGTACTAATGAGACAACATGTGTAAATTGGAACTATTGTGGGTAAGTTAGTTTCCTAGGGCTACTATTAAAAAGTACCACAAACTGGGTGACTTAAAGCAACAGAAATTTATTTTTTCACAGTTCTGGAGGCCAGAAGCCCAATCTAGGTGTCAGCAGAGTTGGCTCCTTTTGCAGGTTCTGAAGGAGAGATTTGTTCAGTGCCTTACCCTTACTCTTAGCTTCTAGTGGTTGCTATCAGTGCTTATTGTTCCTTGGCTTGTAGGTGCTTCCCTCCAGTATCACCACATGGCATTCTTCCTGTTGTCTAGGTCTCTATTTTCTCTCCTTATTAGGACACTAGTCATATTGGATTAAGGTCCATCACAAAGGTCTTAACTTGATGACATTTGCAAAGATCTTACTTCCAAAGAGGGTCCCATGCACAGGTACAGATACAGGTACAGGAGGTTAGTACTTCAGCATATCTTTCAGTTTAAACCATAACAAATTACTGCCACAGGTCCAACACCTTTCTGCAAATTGCCCTTCATTTGTCCAAATAAGTCAGCTCATCATTCCACCCAGTCAGATCTCTAAGCTCTGAAAATTCTTTTCCCCTCATCCTGCTCCCTCCTGAATTATCTCATTACAAGTCACTGGTAGGCAAAAGGCCACCTTGATAAATGAACTCATAGTAAAGAATGCTAAACCACATTACTCTCTAAGGTTTATCTACATTGTCTAATTAAAGGTGATTTCTGGATTATAAGAGTAATGCATATTCAGTGCATACAATTCAAACATTACATAAAAGTCAGTTTGGTTCATTTTCTTCCAGTTTTTATTCTTTGCGCCTTAAAAATTGTATAATTTTACATGTTTTTATACTTAAGCATTTTATATAAACTCTATTTTACTGTATAGCAATGTCAATATTAGATATTTATTAAGTGTTTTCTATATGTTAAATACTACTTTAGGCACTTTATGTGTATTATCTAATTTATTCCTTACAATATTCCTAGAGGCAGGTACAATTATTCTTATTTTATGAATGAGAAATTGAGGCAGGGTAAACTGAGGGAAAATTTTTCAAGCTACACAGTTAGTAATTTGTAAAATCAGGATTCAAACCCAGCTCACCACACTCCAGAGTTTGCATTCACATCACTATAATAAGCTTTAATTCATTCTTTATTCATTTGAAAAAGAGACTCTCAAAAGAAGTGGATGGGTACTAAGGTGACGGTAAATGAATCTTGTATCTTCTCATCCCTTTCACAGCACCCCTCTTCCCAAAAGAGACCTCAAAACTTTCAAATTCGAATCCTAAATTTTCACACACACACACACACACACACACACACACACACACACACACGCCCTTCTACCAGCCATCCAGCTGTACAATTTAGGTAATTATCCTTCCCTCTTTCTTCCTTTCTCCTCCCCACCCACTATCAGTTGACTGTGAAGACATTTTTGCTTCTTAGATATCTCTTAACACGGGTTTCTCTCCATCTCCTGCAGGCCACCATCACCTGTGACCGGGGAACCTAGCATTGCACTGGCTCTGCATATTAGTATCTTTGACTGTCAGGGACCCTTTCTCTCCTGTTGACTTCCTATTGAGAAGTTAGAGATATAGATACGAGCAGCTCAAATTGACTGAGTAGCTTTCCATTTCTCCAGGGAAGTGAATTAGGTAAAGGACCCCACCTCAACTGAAGGATAAGAATCCAAATGGGAGGCACAACTTTCTCTGTACTTTTTACAATATTCAAGAGCAGTTTTAAGCAATGGATATTGATTTTTACCTTCTGACAGTGCATCTTGGCGAGTACCTTGAGCAGTCAAGATGGGGCTATGAGGTCAAGAGATGTAGATTCAAGTTCATACTTTGCTAATTAGTATTTGTGTGACCTAGGGCAAGTTACTTGCTCTTAGCCTGTGTTGGTTTCTTAGGGCCGTTTTAACAAATTGTCACACACTGGAGGCTTAAAACAACTGAAATTTATACTCTCAGTTCTGGAGGGTAGAAGTCTGAAATCAAGGTTTTGGTGGGACTATGCTTTTCTGAAGCCTCTAGGCAAAGATCTTTCTTGTCTCTTCCATCTTCTGGTAGCTCCAGGTGTTCTTGGCTTGAGGCAACATGTTTCCAGTTCCTCCCTCCATATTCACCTGGATTCTTCCCTCTTGCCTATGTCTTCACATAGGGTTCTCTTGTGTATCTCAGTTTCTTTTCTTATGAGGACACCAGTTCGATTAGATTAGGGATTACCTAATATAGTACGACGTCATCTTGATTATATCTTCAAAAACCCTATTTCCAAATAAAGTCATATGCACAGGCACAGAGGGTGAGGACTTTAACATGTCTTTTTTGGGGGGGAATAGGGGGAAGGCACAATTCAACCCCAAGCCTCAAACTACCTTTCTGACCTATCAAATGATCATTATAATACTATCTGCTAGATACGATTCTTATAAAGATTCAATGACAAACATGTTCAGGGCGTTATACAGTGCCTGCAACATAGCTTGAATGCACCCAAAGCATTCTCAACCTTGTTCCTCCCTTTCCAGACCCTTCCCTCCTAACTGTACCCTAGTCCCTGTCTTGCCTGTGATCTCTCTTTTTTTACAGAGTAGAAACAGAAAACAAGCAACCCCAAATCCATATGTCACCTGATTTCATCCTTCCTACCATTAATTTAGTAGGCAATATTGAAGTGCATTTTTTCCAACTAGTGTGTTTTCCTCTTACATGTTTCCAGAAAGGACTCAGAGTTCAGCAACAAATAAAAGACTACTTTGTACTTGCTAGTACATAACCCCCAGGTCTTCTGTAAGCACGGTTTCTTTTGAAGACGACCGCTATGAAGAAGCCTGTTCCTTCCCAGCTCCTAAGCAGGCCTGGAACAGTCCATTTGGGGAACAGCAAATGACAAAGAAGCCTATTCGACTACGCTCAGGAAATTCTGCTCACTTGGAAGCTAAAGAAATACACACCGATAGACACGCGAGACTTCAGAACCAGCCCTTGACCAATACCAAGGAACATTCTGGTAGGTATCACATTGTGGGTCCTAACTCTCCTTGCTCAACTGGCCACATTTTGTGTTTAACTTCAGTATAAACAGTACATGTATTGATGAATGACAGATCCTATTTTAGATGGTACAATAAGAACTATATTAATCTGTCCTTAGTGAAGGTCTACTTGCTGGCAAGCATTATGTTGGAGGAGGTGTGAGTTGATGCCACATAATTTGATGATTTACATATTGTACCTGAGAATAACAGCTCTTCTTATCATCATCATCATTCTAGTTCTATTTATCAAGCTCTCGCCCATGTGCCAGACTCTGTGCTGAGCATGTTATACTATTTTATGAAATCCTCAAGAGGTAATATTACCCCTGTTATCTAGATGAGGAAGTTGTAATTTCACAGCACTCGATTATGTATATAATAATGGAGTCTCTCAAAATCACACATCACAGTAGGAGGAATAAGTCAAAGTAGGGAGATGGATTAGAAGGAATGAGCTTTGGCTAGGAAGACCCGGGCTCAAATATCAGTTCTCTCCCATGTTCGTCCCATAGCCATGATCAAATCCCATAAATGCTCTTTGAGCCCAGTTTTTTCATCAGCAAACTAATGACAATTACTACTTTGAAGTTATAATGAGAGTACTGATATAAAGTTCTCTAAACGCAGTAAGAACTGAATAGTAGTGGTGGTGATGGTGGTGGTGTTGGTGGTGATGTTCAGGCCGGAGGAGGGAAAATGTAAGGAAAAAAGGAATATCTACAAATACTCTAGGAATTGAAATGTTCCAGAAGGATTAGATTGATGTCATGCAGCCTTTTTTTAGGAGCCTTTTAGGGTATATTTCACTTTACATGTTTGTTCAGTTTGTTGGAATTGATCAAGAGAAGAAAAATTTTGACTCAGTACAAAGCAGAATGTACTGCTTGGGTAGAAGCTATCAAAGGGTCTGGGAGACCTTCTTGTAGAGAGGCTGAATCAGCGATGCCTTCATTTCTAGGAGGCTGGGCCTGACCATGGGAAGCAAAAGATGCTGGTTGGTTAATAGTTTTGGAGTTTGACTATGCACAAGACAATGTGCTAAAATCTGAACATGCAGCTTTAGTTTTGGCCCACATGACCGTCCTCTGAGATAGGAAGATTTATTTTCCCATGGTCTGAATGCAGAATCTGAGACCCACAGAGGTTCTGTAACTTTAGGACTGCAGCCAGGTTTCAAGGCCTCCATTCTGACTCCAGGTCTGAGCGTTCCTATACTGAGGTTCTAAATATGACCATCATGCTCTTGGGTATCGAGCACTTGCTATGCACTTGACACTTGACAGTTTATCATGTTCTAACTAGCCAACTTCGTTTTTCACTTCTTTGCTGAAATGTCACTTACCTAGGTCTTTCCTAATGCCCTTTCTTGCTTTATTATTCTCCATAGGAGTTATCACCAGCTGACACTTAAATGTGTTCATTAGCTTACTTATTAGTCTGCTTTTCCTCCCTACTTCCTACCACCTGCCTTATTTTCTTTGCAACTCCAGGTCTAGATCACTGCCAGGCACAACGACTACTCAAATACTAATGCATGATGAATGAGCAAACTTAATTTCACTAGCAACCTTGTGAAGTGGATAATACAATTCCCATGTTTCAGATAAGAACAAGTAGACTTAAGCCAGGTGACATGCCAGGACGCAGATCTGTGGCGTCCTGACCCTAGAGCCAGTTTATTCTATTATACCCCACTGCCCCCTAAAAGAGTTTCTCACAAAATGTACCCTTCAGAATTGGCTTTGGGGAAAACTTCTATTCTTTGGTTCAAGACATAGGAGAGCATATTCTGTCTAGGTCATAGACTCTTGTTCCAAATTCTACAGCCACATCCTTGTTCTCTGGAGGATTCCCCTTGTGCTAAATAGTGATGACAGTGAATGGCTCACTGTCAACCAAAAATTTATAGTGGTCAACTTCAAGAAAGGAAAATTCAAATCAACAGCTATCACGCATTTAGTTTTCACAAAGCAATAGGCTGGAAAGCTTTCATTTACCTGGAGATACTAACATACCATTCCACCTTCACTTCCAGGAAATCTTACATTAAAGAAATTAGGTTCACTAAAAAATTTTACCCGCTTAACCTAGGTATGTTGAATATGCAGTGGGGGATGCCCAATACACATCAGGTATGGGACAGTGTATGATGACCTAACTGAATCACCTATTTACACACTGGCCATTAGACACCCATTATTAGGAGGATACTAGAATTAGACTTTAATTTGTGTAGGTCAATGGACAGAATTTCTCAGGCAAAAACTTTAAGATTTGTATATTATATATAGTAGTATTGAAGTTCATATATATATGAAAATGCAGGTAAAATATATACACACATTATTTTACAATCTTGGCTGTGTGGTTATAAAAAAGATCACATCTTTTACATAGAAAAGATATTTGGTTTAACAAAGGAAAAAATCAAATCAAACATTATTAGATATGAGTGTGTGAATGTGTGTTGTGTAGACCTAGCCTTAGGTTACTTGACTGTTTTAATCTTCAGCTACTTTGCAATTTCTAATAAAGCCCATGAAGTAACTGCTGCCTGAATTTTTAAAAACCATCAGTTGTCAGTCTACATGGGCTGCAGATGCATCTGATTCTGCTAATCTAACTCCACTAACAATTTACTATTCGTCAGCCTTTCCCCAAATTTAGAAATTGGGGCCCCAGTTTAGTCACCCATTCTTGCTTCCCTCTCCTGAGCAGTTTTGAGCGGGTTTTCCTTGAAACCAAAGGTGTTATGAGGAGCCTGAAAAAATTATTTCGGGGGGAGGGAGGAGATGCTTTCAAAGATCGGGAAAGGAACAGACAGCACGTATTAGAGGGGGGGGGGGGAAGCACGTGGGAATGATGCCAGGGATTCTTTTTTCCTCGGCGCGCACACGTTGAGTTCCCAGACACCCAGGGTCGGGAGCGATCCCGCGGGAGGTCTCGCACGTCTGCGTGCCACGCCCGCCTCGCTCT